GGTGAATACAGATCCAAACCCCCTTGGATCTTAAAGCAAGGAGAAATCAATCTGGTTCTTAAAAAGAAGGCTTTTAATTAAAGAAAAAGGTAAAAATCATCTCTGTAAAATCAGTATGGAAAATAGCTTTACAGGGTAATCAAACTTAAAGAGCTCAGAGGACCCCCCTCTGTCTTAGGTTCAAAGGACAGCAAACAAAGATAAACACTCTAGTAAAAGGTACATTTACAAGTTGAGAAAACAAAGGAAAACTAAGACGCCTTGCCTGGCTTTTTTACTGACAAGTTTGAAATATGAGAGACTTGTTTAGAAAGATGGGGAGAACCTGGATTGATGTCTGGTCCCTCTCAGTCCCAAGAGCGAACAACCCCTTAAACAAAAAGCACACACAAAAGCCTTTCCTCCCCCCAAGATTTGAAAGTATCTTGTCCCCTTATTGGTCCTTTGGGTCAGGTGTCAGCCAGGTTACCCGAGCTTCTTAACCCTTTACAGGTAAAAGGATTTTGGAGTCTCTGGCCAGGAGGGATTTTAGTACTGTACACAGGAGAGCTGTTACCCTTCCCTTTATAGTTACGACAGTTACACTTGTTCAAAACTTGTTTTATGGAACAATGGCGCTTGGTAAAATTAAGCTTTGGTGTCTTGTGTGTTTTTCACATGTGAAATTTTCTTGAAGAAAAGATGAGAAATGCAAAACAAAATATGAATTAACCAGATAGCTAAAAACCATTCTCTTGCTCTGTACTTCAGTTTAAAACCACGTCTTCAAGAAAACAGAGGCAATTACTACCAGAGAGAAATCACATTGATTCTTTTTTTCTGACCCATACAAGCTTACTGCTATGCTGTAACCACCACCTGATGGTAGACCTTTAAATAAGAGATTTGCTTCATGATTTCATATATCGCCTGCTTTTCTACTGCAGCGGGTCATGTTTACTTTTTTTGTTGTTTAAATCATAATGTACCCTAGAATACCGGTAGCCACCAAGCCTTCAGGTCTAGGGAGGTGGTGCTTTGAGTGATTGTCCACATGTATTCTTCTACTCATGTGCATAGGCCTCATGCACATGAACAGATTTTGTTTTATTTATTTGGCCAGCAGTGTCTGTTGGGGTCATGCCTCTGTGCTGGATGACCCACTTCTAAAAAGGCAAAGAGGTGCTAGCAAGTTCTTTCAGATGGATTTGAATATCTTTACGTGCACTAGTTCCTGAATCACTGGTAGCGGTCGCGGTCGCAGTCGCAGTCACGGTGCATGAAAGATCCAGGCAGCAGGGACCCCAAAAATAACTTTCAAGAGACATTTTTTAAAAAAACTAGAGTAATTTTTCTTCCTAAATAAAGTATGCATTTGTGCATTGTAAATTACCAGGTGCTCTTGTCAGAGTAATTGGGATGAAGTGTTGTATTTTATTGGAAAAACCCCTCAACACAAGGATGAAGTGAAGCCCATTGTATCTGAGGGGCAATTGGTATCTTGTACATCGTTGCAGGTGCCATTATATGTGTTGGACACTGCAGGCCATTCAGTGGCCTCTTCCTTTACTATGAACAGGGATTCATGGTTAGTCTCTAGAAATCCTTAAGGAAGTCCAGACAATTGAGGACCTCCTATTTGAAAGTTGTGACCTCTTTAATGCAAGAACGGATGAAGCCCTGCACTCTTTGAAAGATTCAAGAGCCACTCTCCATTCCTTAGTTTATATGCCAGTCTTCAGGAGAAAGCAGGCTAGGTCACAATACTACTCCAGACAAGACATGTTGTTGTTAGTCCACAAAGATCATAGGAGCTGCAGAGAAAGAAGCAGAGGTTCAAATGCAGAAAACCCTCTGCTGCCTTCTCATCTACTGCACTGCCTGCATCAACCTCATGGCATCAAGTTTGACTTGCTGACTGCCATACAGAGTTCTGGAGAATCAGTACCCTTCCTTCAGTTTTTGAGCACTAGAATCTATTACACTAGTGCTGGGTCTTGGAGATCATAAGTGTGGGGTGGTATGCCATTCAATTTTCCAGTTTCTTCCAATCCTCCACTTTTTTCACATCCCTCTTCAGGGACCCCTCATAAGATTCTGCTAAAGCAAGAAGTGTACTCTCTTCTAAATCTCAGAGAAGTAGAAGTGTCCTTGGAGTTCAGAAGGAAGATGTCTTACTCCCATTTTTTTTCTAATCCTGAAGAAGTAGGGCTAGTATCTAATTAATTAATTCTAGATTTGAGCTGCCTCCACAAATTCATCCATTGTTTCAAATTCAGGATGGCAACCCCATGTCTCTATAATCCATTCATTAGATCCAAGACAGGTTTGTAGCTCTTGACTTACAAGATGTGTATTTTCATGTATCAATTCACTTGCCACACGAAGACCTCATAGTCCAAGTGGGAGCATCTCACTACCAGTAGCGTCCTTACCCTTTGCGCTGCTGAGAGACCAAGGTATTCAAATTCTTGGCAGTCATGGCAGCTCACCTGAGGCAGCAAGGGATCCAGGTATAGCTTTATCCTGATGACTAGCTAATTCTAGGATGATCACTGGAATAGGTGAACAATTCTGTCTTTTCATCGCACTGGGATTCAGGATCAACGAAGTCCCAGTTATGGTTGCCAACCCAAAGAATAGATTGCAGAGGGCCTGTGTTAGATTACAGATCAGCAAGAGTTTACAGCAAGAGAGGATCCAGACCACAGTGGACCTCACCCACCATTTGTAGGCTCACCTACAGCCATCTTTGAGTGTGCCACAGACTCTTGGGTCATGTGGCTTCCTGCACTTGTTATACAGAATGCCCGACTCCATTTATGTTCCTTGCAAGCCTGTTTGAAATCTGTATCTACCCAACAGACATTGCCAAGGCATGAGGATGCAGGTTCCCTGAGAAGAACTCTCCATTGTTAAGTTGGTGGAAGGACCCTTTCCAGGTATGCAAAGGAATACTGTTTTCTCCACTTCTGCCTAGCAAGGTGCTGGCAACAGATGCCTCCATGTTAGGATGCACAGCTCACCTAGAGCACCTACAAAACCAAGCCTTCGGAAATCCCAGAGAGACTCCCCTTCATAAGCATTCTAGAGGTCATAGCTATTCATCTGTTTTCAGCATTTCTTCTTATGTTACATAAACTAACAATCCAGGTGATGATGGACACGTATCAGTGTTTTGTCAACAGAGAGAGCAAGAAGCTACTCAGGGCTAGAGCTGTTGCATTGATCATCAAAGCAGTAGCTCTCTGTCTAACCAGGCTTGTAGAATGACTGACCTAACAGACCACCACCTCAGCAAGTAATTAGCATACTAGCATGAATGGACTAATTTTATTCTGCAGAATATCTTCTGTAGGTAGTGGATACCAGTCAGTAGACCTGTTTACTATAAACTAGAACAAATGCCAAACATTTGGCTCAGTGTGGGGATGAGAGGGGGTTTGAGCCCAAACTCCCTGTCAGATGCTTTCCTTATCTCATGGACTCTAGGGATAATGGAATCAGTGGATAGTCACTCTCTAATACTGAGAGTCTAAACAGAACAGTAATGATCATGTTTTAACCCCACTTTGGCCCAGGCAGTTCTGATATGTGCATCTAATAAACTAATCATCTGGGCCTCCAATAAGATTACCTGTCTCACCTGATGTGATCTCAGAGTGGCGGTTGCATCCTCCATCTGATAACATACATGCTGGCTTAACTACCCTGAAGCAAGCTGTTCAGCTGAAGTTTAGAATATACTGATGCAGAGCAGAGAAGACTATGTGGCCCAAATGGAGGAGGAAGTTGGGCAGGCCAACACTGCCGGTCTCCCAAAATAGAAGATACTGGGGCTTCTATCCTTAAAGCAGTCATGACAGTCTACCGCTGAACATAGATTTATGGAGCTGATACTCTCTGCATGTCTTCCTATTCAGGGTTACACCATTCTCCTCTGATCAGGTCAGACCAGATGATGATTGATCTCTTCTGGCATTACAAAGGAATCTAGATTTCTCAGGGGCCTCATTCATGGTTCCCCCCCCCCCCCCCACCCTCAGTGTGAGTTCTCCCTTCTTCCTAGCACTTTAATATAATTTCAGCTGGGTTACTAGGAGCTCCTTTTGAGCCCTTAGCAACTTGCCCTATACTGTCTATGAAAACAGCCTTTTTAGAAGCTATAACATCAGCTCACCGGGCTCATCCACCATATGTGGTGGTCTACAAAGACACTGATCCTCAGGCCTTAGCAAAAATCTCAATTTCATTTAAATTTGATGCTTCATCTGCCACTTTTTTTTCCCCACACTGCTCCAACCACAGGGAAGCTAAACTGCACATCCTTGACAGAACAAAACCTTTAGGGCAGGGGTGGGCAAACTTTTTGGCCCGAGGGCCACATTGGGGTTGCAAAACTGTATGGAGGGCTGGGTAGGGAAGGCTGTGCCTCCCCAAACAGTCTGGCCGCCACCCCGTATCCGACCCCTCCCACTTCCTACCCCCTGACTGCCCCCCTCAGAATGCCCGACCATCTAACCCCCCCCGCTCCCAGTCCCCTGACTGCTCTGACCCCCTATCCACACCCCTGCCCCTTGACAGGCCCTCTGGGACTCCACGCCTATCCAACCCCCTTCCCCCGTTCCCCATCCCCTGACCCTTATCCACACCCCTGCCCCCTGACGGATTCCCATGCTTATCCTGATCGCCCCCCAGAACCTCTGCCCCCATCCAACCGCTCCCTGTCCCCTAACTACCTCCTGGAACTGCCTGCCCCTTATCCAACACCCCAGACCCCTTACCATGCCGCTCAGAGCAGCATGTCTGGCAGCTGCGCCGCCTGGTCGGAGCCAGACACGCTGCCGCGCTACTTGGCAGGAACATGCAACCCCGCCACCCAGAGTGCTGGGGGCGTGGCAGCGGGGGAGGGGCTGGGGGCTAGCCTCCCAGGCCTGCAGGCTGTAATTTGCCCACCTCTGCTTTAGGAGCTCCTTGATACAGGTAGGGTGAATAGTCAGTCTTTTGGGTGGATATTGCCTGATCTAATGGGGATTTAATTATATTGCATCATGCTCTGAGTTAGCTAGATTAGATCCATCCATACAGCTTAGAGCCTATTCCACCTGGGCTCGGGAATCTTCTGCAGTTTTTCTTGGAGAGCATAACAATTTCAAAACTTGCAGAGCAGCTACAAGGGGATCAGTGTACGCTTTCACCCAGTGTTACTTGAGGACTCAGTATCTGATGCCTGTTTTACCAGAGCCATCCTGCAATTGTTATTTAATTAGGATTTCTAGCACCCACCTCCGACTGAGGTTGCTGCTTGCTAGTCACTATAAGTGGAATACATGTGGACAATAACTCACAGGAAGAATGGTTACATACATTTACAGTAATTCTTAAAGGTGTTGTCCACAAGGATTCTACAGCCTGCCTTCCTTCCCTGATTTTACAGTCCTAGATGGAGTCCTGGTCAAGTTGGATTCTGAATTGGCAAAGGAACAGGGAGAAAGTTGAGTCCACTTTGCCTTTTATGTCCTTAGTGAGAGAGAGAGGATATCCAGGGTACAGGGACAGTCCCAATGGACACTGTTGACCAAAATAATCTGATCTCAGGAGTAGGCATACCACATGTGGACACCACCGCCAAAACCCCCAGAATTACTGTGAGGGTAAGTATTCATTCTTCCTTTGCTGTGCTTCTAGATGTAGTACTATTCACATACTGTGTTGTACAGAATATGAATACTAACAAAAGTAGCCTCTGGGTGTGTAAATCTGTAGTCTTGACAGTGTGGTTCTACACAGTGACAAGAGTGAGTTACACCTTTTTCTGAGGTTGTGGGCTTGGTTCAGTATCTTTAAAAGGATAGAAATTATTGTCTTAAAAGAAACCCTTTGTGTTAAAAGTACATTTCCACTTGGTTTTGTGATGTAACAGTTCATCTAGTCATTGCTTTGTTTATATTTAAACATCAAATTACTACTCCATGTGCTTTGAGAGGTATCACATAGCTACCCCTGTAGTATTTGGAGTCTTTATAGTAGAGCAGATACAGTAAAAGCTTTGGTATTCGCCATGTTGGGATTGGGAGGTGCTAGGAAGTAAAAAATTCCAATTAAGAGGGAGGGAGTTTTGGGTGCAGGAGGGGACTCGGGGCAGGGGTGCCGGATCTGGGTGGTGAGATGTCCCCGCTGCTCCTAGGCAGAGCTGGCTCTGCAGTTCCCATTGTTCGGGAACCTCAGCCAATGGGAGCTGTGGGGGTGACACTTACGGGCGGAGGCAGTGCACAGAACAGTCTAGCCATGCATCTGCCTAGGAGCAGCAGGGACATCTTCTGGAAGCTGCCCAAGGCAAGTGCTGCCCTGATGCTGCACCCAAACTCCCTTCCAGAGCCTGTGCCCTGAACCCCTCGTGGCTGTTCCTCCACCTAAGAGCAGCAGGGACATGTCGCCACTTCCGGGGAGTCATGGGGAGCCAGGTACGGAGCCTGCTGGCCCTGCACCAACTGTCCATTGAAAGTCCAATTTATAGATCAGAAATACTGGTTTATAGAGCTTTCCAGGTGATAAAGTGCTGGATAACACAGCTTTTACTGTACTGTGTATGCTTGTAATAAAGATATTCAACTTGATTTTCTTCCCACTCATTTTAGGAAGAATGGACTGATGATGATCTTGTAGATTCACTATAATTTTTAAAGATGGCACCTGGCAGAACTTCAGGAACTACTTGTCATCCACCTACTGCATCATGTTGGATTCTCATTTGTAAAAACTCTAACGACTTATGGCAGGTTCCCAGTTTGTCATGGGCTACAGAAGAACTGCCTCTTTATAATAAATTGATTTGTATTTTATTTAAATGACTAGTCATATAAACATGATTTTTCTATATATTTATTTACATTTTTGAAAGAGCATTCTAGAATCAGACATGCACTTTCCTGAAGAGAGATTTTCATGCCTAACTTAATCTTGCGTGAGCTTTTAATGCATTAACACTTGATGGCAAGTGGGCGATAAAGTATATGCCATGTCTTCTTCTGATTGGCAGCATTACCTGTCAGTTTTTCAGGCTCACTAGAAAATTAAAAGTGTACCTCACAATGATGTGCAAGAAACACCTGTAAAGTCAGGGGAACTGGGCCAATGTCGTAAGATACCTACAAGTGCATGTGGTCAGAATTTCTGACAAGTCAGAAGACTGAATTCATAAGCTAAACATTTCAGAGATGCTTCAAAGCTGCCCTGGAACTCTGCCTGACAGGCTGCTGCAGCATGAAACTCTAGCTCCCCTGCAGGTCCACTGGGTGTACTGATAGAGCCTAGAAACACTGGCTCATCCAGCTCCTGTGCAAGGGACCTTTAAGATGTGGGTTCTATTGCGTTTCAGAGAACTTAGGAATTTGGTTTTGCTCCATGTTGGAACAAACTCAAAACTCTGAAAGAGCAGTACCTTTCTTTGCATACTTAAAGATAACTTATCAGTCTGTAATGTCACCATTGATGCACCATACCTTTGTTGAAAAGCAGCAGCACTAAGTGACCTTTAAGGGTTCAGATACTTATCAACTCAGGTGTACAGTGAAACCTGGTTTATTTTAAAAAGAGCCCATAGAGAAATTTGGCCATAGAAAATGGAACAGCATGAAATAACTTTTTGAAGGGGGAAACCTTACCCTCCCTTTCAGTTATGGAGCATATAGCTCAGGCCTTTAACTAAAGTCAGGGCAAATATTTATAAATACACCAGTGCTTCAGTGCAAACCCTGAGCATAGACAAAGTAAACCAATGACAGGCTGTTCAGGATACCTAGAACTGTCAGCCTCTCTACCTCCCCAAATTTCATGGGGTGCTTTTAGGGTCACAACACCTTACCTTGCTTTCAGGTAGAGGTAAGCTGTACTGGTCCACATAGAAGAGCTTTGTCTACAAGAAGTCTGCATGGATTCCTTTTTGGAGGCTGAAGCCAAGCTGTAGTGCTTTGAACAATGGGGAGGCCAAAGTGTAGGTGACACATGGACCAGGACTAGCCTATTTTTGTGAAGTCAAATTGGCACAGCTACAGGGCACACTATACTTTAGACCTCCTTTGTCCCTCTTCAGGTGCACCATTCAGATGACAGGCCTAGCTTCCTTTACCTCGTGGGAGAGGAAGGAGGTGGAAGTCATGCCATTCAACATATCTGGCACCTGTAAGACCTTTTCCTCCTATGACCAGCAGCTGATTAGTGACTTTAATGTCTTCTTAAACAAAGCATTCATTCACTCAAAAATACATAACGATCAGACAAGGGTTAAAGCAAAGGCATATACATACATTTCCCCTTACCTAAACCTTTCTGACAAACTTTGTATCATTCAGCTTTGTTACCTCCATCTCTGGGCTAGGAAAAGCATATTGCTCTCTTGTATTCACTCTCTTCTGTGTGTTAGAAAACATAATCCCAACTATCAATACAAAATGACAAGGTCTAAATTAGCTGTTACTACTCAAGAAACATCTTGAAGTCTCATGGATAGTACTCTGAAAACATCTGCTCAATGCTAATGAGACAAAATATCATAATGCCTCTATATAAGGGGTGGGCAATAATTTTTGCGGCGGGGGGGCACACCATGAATTTTGGTAAGTTGTCACAGGCTACACATTTCTACTATATTAATGGAGGTGGTGTGGGGTCTAGGAGGGAGTTTGGTGCAGGAGGGAGCTTTGAGCTGGGGTGCAGCGTCTGGGAGGGGGTTTGGGTGCAGGAGGGGGTTCTGACCTGGGGCAGAGGGTTGGAGTGTGGGAGGGGGTGCAGGCTCTGGCCGGGAGGCGCTTACCACAGGCAGCTACTGGCTGGCAGTGTGCTCAGGCAAGCTGCCTGCATGCTGTGGCCCCATGCTGCTCCTGGAAGTGGCCAGCTGCCGGCCCCATGGCACATCTCTGCACGCCCCTAGGAGGGGAGGGCGGCAGCGGGTCTCCGTGCGCTGCCCTCGCCTGCAAGCACCGCCCCTGTGAGGACAGTGCTGGGGGCAGCGCGCAGAGACATGCCAGCAGCAGCCAGTGCTGGGGGCAGCGGCGTGAGGCCACAGCAGGCAAGCAACCTGCCTGAGCACCCTGCTATGCCGTCGGACTTTTAGCAGCCTGGAGATCACGAGGGGGCAGCCAGAGAGCCAAGCAGGCCAGACAGAAATGTTAGATGGGTCGGATCTGGTCCGCTGGTCCTATTTTGCCCACTCTTGCTCTATATGAATCCATGGTACACCCACACCTTGAATACTGTGTGCAGTTCTGGTTGCCCCATGTCAAAAAGGATACATTAGAATTGCAAAAAGTACAGAGAAGGGCAATAAAGCTTAGGGGTATGGAATAGCTTCCGTATGAAGTGAGATTAAAAAGACTGGGATTGTTCATCTTAGAAAAGAGATGAGTAAGGGGAGATATGATAGAAGTCTATAAAATCATGAATGGTGTGAAGAAAGTGAATAAAGAAGTGTTATTTACTTCTTCACAGAACACGAGAATCACCCAAAGCAGTTAACAGGCAGCAGGTTTAAAACAAAAAAGGATGTTCTTCACACAACACATGGTCAACCTGTGGAACTCATTGCAGAGATGTTGTGAAGGACAAAAGTATAACTGGGTTCAAAAAGAATTAAATAAGTTGATGGAGAATAGGTCCATCAATGACTATTAGCCAAGACTCAGGGACACAACCCCATGTTCTTGGTGTCCCTAAAGCTTTGACTGCCAGATGTGACTAGGTGACGGATGGATCACTTGATAAACTGCCCTGTTGTGTTCATTTTCTCTGAAGCATTTGGCACTGGACACAGTGAGAAGACAGGGTACTGGGCTAGATGGACCATCAGTCTGACTCAGTATGGCCATTCTTATGTTCAAACAGGTAAACTAAGGTGAACCTGGTTAATAAAAACACAACTCCCTCATTCTCTGCACAAGTAAAAAGGCTCTATTAAGCCCCATTGCAACACACTGCAATCTGTTTGAAGTTGGAGTTGTAGGTTCTTATGGCAGATGACTTCTAAAATAGACCACTAGCTACCTGTGAAGACACCAAATCCATGTCTATGGATTTCCACCCTGTCAGAATCTAGATTGTTATCCAGCTCTTTCCCCTTTACATCCTTCACTAACTCCTCCCTCAACTATCCATCTGTCTCCCTTTCCTGTTATTACCTCAAAAATCTGTAACAGATAAGTAAGACTAAGATTCGGACCCAGATTAATATCTCTATCACTTTTTAAAACCCATAAGGTAAGTAAAAACAATCCAGTGTAAAGATAGATTTACTAAGATTTATTAAAATTAAACAAATTAACAAAGGCAACAGAATAATAGCTCAGAGGTTTGACCCAAAAAGGCATAAAGCCTGGCTCCCTTCTACCCTTGGCAAGCTATGGGAACTCCTTTACTTGCAGGAAATGACTTTCACTGGCAACTCAGATGGAAAGGCAGATAGCTGGTTGTGACTGCAGACTACTACAGTTGCTGGATTCCGGACCTGTAACTGCCTTAGATAGGATGACAGGAGGGACACGGACTGAAGCTGGATCAGGATACCCCACGATGGTCTTCAGGTAGGTAGCTTGTGAAGAATCTGCCTCTCAATGTGTGCACAGAAGAACTAGGCATGGGCTGCCTCTGTGGTGGACAGCTCCTGATGCTGAATGCGCTGGCCTTAAATAGACTTGGGCACGTGACCTTTTCCCGCACTTTTCTTAAAAGACCTAACCAAAAAGACTCTCAAAATGGAGTCCAAACAACAACTTAACCATTGACCCATAAATTTCACAAAACAGTACATAAACAGCACAGTATATAAATCAGAACAATACATAAATTCTAATAAACTCCACATTTCCCCTTCTTGACGGTAAGAAGAGATACACCCTCTTTGCCGTCACAACCCAACCACTCTGATTTCATACATAATGATATTTATACCAACTTAAATGGAACAATGAATTTGTTGGACTTCACTTGTTTAATCCAGACAGTTAAACATACCAGATATGTAATAATGACCATTTGAACAATCAAAATCACTACAACAGGGTGCAATAATATATGCCACACTTCATTATAATCCGCAGACCCTCCAAATAAGTTTTCCCCACCAGTGATTTGATGCAGTATCACTCTGAATTCTTTTAAGAACTCCTTTGATTTGGTCTGAGGCATGATGTAACAGATAACCTCATAAGCATGACCTCTTTTCCTCCCCTTTGGATTTGTCTTAAATGGTATTTCATTTCTGGATGGTGCATAAGACATTTTAAGGCTGATATATTCACTCTTAAGTGAATTGGTTCAAGATGTTCATATAGGATTTAATATGTCTGTATGGTTTGCACGGTTACTTTGTGTAGAGTGAAATTCACATCACATCCCACTATGGAAAATATTGAACATAGGACAGATGTTTATGAATGGGTTGTGGGGAATTTTGTGGTAAACAATAACAACAAACTGCACCAACTGCGAATACAAATACAACTGTCATCCACTAACACCATAGTGGAATGATTAAAATCAGACAGATGCATTTTATAATGGCATTTACCCTCCTTCGAATTAAGACACACATGAGAAAGCTCGATGACTTCTGAGCTACATGTATATCCCAGCCCCTTTTTTTCAATGCATGATTGCAGGTTAACAGTGTGGTATTCACTATCCTTCTGATGGACCCATTTGCTGAGTTCCATTGGAAGCAATACAGGGTATGTCTACACTACGAAATTAGGTTGATTTTATAGAAGGCAATTTTTAGAAATCGATTTTATACAGTTAATTGCGTATGTCCCCACTAAGCGCATTAAGTCAGCGGAGTGCGTCCCTCACT